GGCGAAAATGGTACTTAAATACGTGAATTAAACTCACATGGTCACTTGCAAACACAATTAAATTGTGAAATGTTAAAACCATTTTACATTGGAAACTAGCACTCTAATCCAATTTCCTTGCCAACTCTGACTGGTAGGCGCAAGAATCCTTATTGTGAAAACATCACACGCTTTGAAGTTTTAATTACCTTTACTCAAATTAACTCAATGTCAAGCTGAAACTGATTAGGAAATGTCAAGAGATTAGACTACAGGTCTATATATTTAATTTTGTTCATTAAGTAGGCAATAAATAGTAATTTTATAGATATTTCCGATATTTCATGTGTATATCTCCCTTTTCTGCCGGCAGCCGACATCACAAGAATGTTTCTGTATACCGTGTCCCTTCTCTTCAAGCCTTACATGGTGTCCATGGCGTCACCTGATTACGGCCACTTCCCTGGACCACTTGCTCCACAGCTGCCCTACCAGCCAACGCCACAACATGTCCTGCCTGCTTCTTTATGGATTCCAGTTGGATGCAAGCTTGGATGCAGTTCATGTTTCAACAGACAATGGCGCCGGCAGCACCTGATGCCAGCTGCTACACCTATGACTTAATTGTCTACTGACCCAGTGATAATGGCAGTGCCTCCTGCAACGTCGGCTCTACTGGCGCCTCCAACTCTATTGGCAGTCCTGACGCCATCAGTGCCTGCTATCAGCTCCTTGATTCCACTCACAGTGCTCTCTGTACCATCGTCCTTTCCGGCAGCAGCGCCACTGGCGCTCTCCTCATATGCCTTCTGAGATTATCCGCCTTCTACTCATGCTAGATCATCATATGGATCTAACTCTCCCAGTTCCTCTTGGCCCAGCGGTACATCGTCCGGATCTCGTCGCCGTTCACAGAGTCACTTTCCCTTCCGTAGAAATGAACGTTACTACCATTCAGACTCATGAGGGAGCCTTTGTCCCAGATTATGACTCTACCTCTCTTCGGCCCTCGACAGAGATTTTGCAAAGCTTTCGCTCACTCTATCTTTGCAGGCTCCTCCTTATCAGAAGAAGGATAAGTCTGGTCCTCTTGTTTGATGTGGCAGACAACCCTCATGTCCTTGACGATGACCTTCATCGCATGACAGGCTCCTTGAACCTGACGACCATGCCTGATACTTGTTGGACGTTTATCGAATCAGAAATTTTTCATTCTCTCAAGGTCATCTCTAATCTGGCCCTCTCCTCCTGGGCTATAGATCAAGATTTATCGTAGATCAACCCCAACAGTATTGACCACATGAGAAGGATCATGGCTTACCAGATTTGACAAGTGGATCACATGCGGAACCATCTACAAGCTGCTCTGGCGGAAATCACTTCAACCCGGCGCTTTGGCTATCTTGCATTGATGGATTGGGATTGGAAATTTAAGGAGAAGTTCTTCCGTTAAGCTTGGTCCGGCTCATCTTTGTTCAATGGTGCAATCACTGACACGCTAGAGTATCAAGTTTGATGGCTCTGAAGGCCCTTGAACCAACCTTGCCAGAACTCTCTCAAGGACCATTCTCAGACTTCCTCCAGCTATCGGGGCAGTTCCAGCCTCACTGTGATCGACACCAAGGCAAGGGTGCCCATCAGAGGTGCAAGCAATGGACAGATGGACTCCAACAACTGGGATCTCTCACCCCCGGTCATCCCTGTTACTGATTAAGCCGTACTGGAAGACCCATATGTTACCAACATCCTCCACCAAGAGTACTCTCTCTCGTTAATAAGGGATACTCCTCTGAAGTCATCACCCTTGGCAGATGCCTACATCCCCCATCAACGCCAACTCCTATGCAACTACATCAGCATTCTATTTCACAAGGAGCCCATGGAGATTGTGCATGAAGCTTTCAGACATCCGGGATTCTGCTCCCCCCATGTTTCTGGTCCCCAAGAAGGGGTCAGACAAACTCTGCATGATTCAGAATCTCACCATTTTCAACTGATGCTACCTAGAATGTTCACCATACTTCAAGATGTCCACGTTGAGGCTGCTCAGGACCAGAATCAATGCCAAAGATTCCCTGATCAGCCTTGACATCCAAGATGCATACCTTCATGTGCCCAGCCACTCCAGCGACAGATGGTTCCTCCGGCTCTTCTCCTTGGTGCCTATTACCAGTGGGCAGTCCTACCATTTGGAATTTCCTTGGCCACATGGCTTTTTACATAGATCACCAAGCCCATTGCCGCCTATTTACACCTGAGGAACATCAACTTTGAGTCCTACATAGACGATTGTCTCCTGGACCACCTGGACTCCGAGACACTCATCCGCCATAGGGATTTCACCCAATGCCTCTTCAATCAGCTCGGGTGGCTGGTCACTGAGACTAAGTCAGAGCGCACTCCATTTTATCAGAGGCCTGTTTTGGACAGGCCCCAGGGACAGGTGGGTGAAGATACTTCAACACCAGCTCTTCATCAAGTCCTGACCCTCTCCAATGGCAGGTGCTGCTGGGCTTACTCTCTTCCGTGCAGGACCTGACCTCCAGGGAACATCTCAAGCTATGTCTGATTCAGCGGCTTCTCACGCTCTCCATCAGGCAACATCGTCCTCCCAGTTCACCTGCAACCATATCTTTACTGGTGGACAGTGGAGTTGAATGTCTTCAGCGGCATCTCCTTGACCATGCTCAAACCCAGGTTTCACCTCTTAGTAGATGCATCAATGCAAGGATGGGGGGGGGGGGCTCATCTGGAGTCCCACATGACCTCAGGGCTGTGGTCAGGCTATCAGCGTCTCTGGGACAACAACAATGTCGAGCTGGAACTGCTTTCGCCACCAGTCAGAAATTCCAACTGCAGATCTACATCTCCATGGTTCCGGATCCGCAAGCACTGGCAGTCAACACCCTCAGCATCCCCAGGGAAGGACTTAAAGCTTTTCCGTCTCCGGTATTCGTTCCAAGGGTTCTCCAAAAGATCAGGGACACTCGGAACCTAGTTCTGATTTTGGTTGCGCCTTGGTGGCCAGTGAGAAGTTGGTTTGTGGAGCTCAGAAACCCCCGGCCTGGAATCTGATTTTACAGTTGTTGCGGACGACTCCCTTCGAGCCATTGTAATCATCTTGTTACGACTTCACCAAGAAAACGTTTTTTCTTTTGGTGCTGGCTACAGCAGCACAGGTCAGCAAACTACATGCTGTGTCCGGTTAGAGCAGGGAGCTCATGGGGCTATTCATCTTGGATTGTGCTAGGATTTCATTGCCAAGAATCAACTCCCAGGACAGCCAGACAGGTCATTCACTATCCCTCCACTTTCATCAATCATGGTCACTGAAGATGAAGGCATGATGTTATTATGCCAAGTGCGGGTTTTACAATGTTTTCTCTCTGACGTTCCACGACTCAGTGCAAGTCAAGAAAGCACCTGTTTAACCTGGTCTTCCTTACTTCGCAGACAGAGGTCAACTGTAATTCCATCTCCCTATGGCTGTGAGCCGTCATTCTTCAGGCATACGAAGCATACAAATAAGTCTATTATGGAAGGGTGTTTTGGGCGCTCTGATACCATCTTCGCCAGCCATTATCTACAGGATGTGGCCTTAGAGGATGTCAGACCGATGAGCTGGCTCATTGAACTCTCCAGTGTTTATCACCCTAGATTAGAGGGCTCACATGTTGTGCGCATTAGCTTGGTAGGTCAGTTTTAGATTTTAGCTCACACTATTTTCTATTACTGTTATTTTACCTGGTTTTCACATATCTTCACATTCTTGTCTTCCTTCTCACATGAATGGCCATTGTTTCCGGGTTCCACGCAGGATGCTGTACTGTTTACTTGGACCGTGATGAGGATTTATTTTGAATCACATCTTTAGGCATGCCCACCTCCGTACCGTCTGATAAAGATGCATTAAGGAGTAATGCAGGATAAGTTAAAAAATTTAGTTAACTCCAGCTGAAGAGAGGTTAGAAACAGAGGCTCCCAGTTTTACCTGCCAGAATAAGTTTATGTAGTTTTTAATCATACAATTTTCAAATAAATCTTAACATTTCCTAGAAGTGTTTCGATGATAAAGGTTTAGTCTCCGTCTATACACCCTTCCAATGTCAGTGTAGACACATTTTTGGAGAAAGTGCTATGGACACAAGGATCATGTTTTACATACATCACTAGGGAAAACATGTATCACGTTCAAAACACCACGTCAAGCATAGATATTTCACACATTTATGGACATGGTGCACTGTTCTCCAAAATTGTGCATATTATCTGATTTATATCTGAGAGCCAATTGACCCATGAAGATCCGGGTTGGAATAGGTCTTCAGTAACCCATGATTGACGTAAAAGGCAATTAGGCTTGCCGTAAGTGGCACCTAACAGGATCGGGTGGTCAGCCTCGCTGACTTGGTTGATGTATGTCATCGTATCCCAATTGTGTAGATTGATGCTCATGATGTCAGTCACTGGATTCTCTTGTCCAGACTCAATTATTTACAGACCGGCGTCATATAGCTGAAATATTGCTGAATGGGACGTTAGACAACAAACAAACAAACAAACAGAGCCAGCTATGGGTACATTGAAGGAGGGCCATTCACGAGAGATATGGGTGTGGCTCAAGTTTGAAAACCAGCATCTAGAAATTAAGGATTACAAGTTCTGTCCTTGTTTGAATAAGCTGTTATAGTCTTCCTAACAATTTTGTTTGTGTGAAACTTGTGTGTGCCTGTTGCTAGTCAGGATTATTCCTATTTTATTATCACTTCCAAGTTCAATTGAGAGTAGGGTTTGTTTCCTGTTCTAAAGTCATTATCATTTCATTCTGTATCCATAAAACTCTTGAAAATTGATCTAGCTAGTTACAACTGTGCCAGTTGCAATCACAGAAAGTCTTGAAAACTGTGTGACCATGTCAGCCTCTATAGGCGCCTACCTGTTTAACTGTAGGACCACACTCAGCTTTACGAAAGGGAAGTGAATAGTTTGTTGATGTAAGGTATGGCTAATATCTTTTCTAGGTGAACGTTTGCAAGGGAAAGGCAGTGAGTTGTACCAGCTCTGTCGGGAGATTGACACTCAACTTCAACAAGGTCAGTTTGTTTCACAGTACTACATATTTGACCTTGAAATGATATAAAGTACATACAAAATGTTGTAATGGATGCTTCAATGAATACAACCGACAAAACATAAGGGAACTAGTATATTATTTGAATGTAGCTATCTTTGAGGTGTACATATAGAAAATCGTGGTGCTGCATCTGAATGCAACGTCTAATCACAATGACATTTCACATCATACATGAACAACACTTGATGCACATGCACACAGGAGCTGAAGTGTGTGCACATATAGGAGAACTCACAATCACTAATGCAATTGAGCTAAGCACACACTTGAAAATGCCCCCGAGACAGAATCTCAATGAACAGATAATTTGTTGTGGGTACGATAATGGAAGGGATGTCAATATCCTAAGTTGCCTGTATGGTTTTTGTGAATGAACATTTGACTGGCCAGCGATATGTTGACATATCATTCTGTTTGCTAAAATTATCAGCAGAAATAGTGAACAGCAAGATGACAGGCCGTCACTGATGTATCTCTGACAAGAAGGCATATGGACATTGGACTGGCCACCTGACATGTCCCCAACAGAGCATCTGTGGGATGACCTCTGGCGAAGAGTGTACGCCAAAGACTAGGGCTGGGACGGGTAATTCGGGTACTCGGGTCGTGTGTGTCCTGAGTAGGACCCGGGTAGCCACAGTACTACCCAGACCCATGGTGGGTCATGTGATATATTGTGTAATGACAAAAACTCACTATAGCTCAGTGGTTACACTACAAGTCGGTAATGTTCGCATTTCTTTCTGAAGATGCAGAAAAACTGTTTGGTAAACTATTCACAATCAAACATTTTGTTCCCAACTCTTGAGACCGGGTAGGGTCGGGTATTAGAGGGTCAGGTACCTGGGACTCATCCAAGCCCTGCGAAAGACCCAGCACCCACCAACGTGGCCCAGTTTTGGTATCTCTTAAAGGCAGAGTGGCAGGCAATATCAATGTCAACCATACGCAAGTTAATCAACATTCTGCCATCAAGGTGTCATGCATGTATCGCCCAACATGGTGAAAACACCAGATATTGATCTAGACACCCAAAACTAATTTGACAGACATTTATCGCCATTACACTATCACTGGTGTTTCATCAGTCCCTTATTTTTGTCGGTTCATTCACTGCATGACATAATACAAGGAAAACACCCGAGGAAATAGGTCACTTGAATTGTGTCTGTTTAGGTACATGATACACTATAACACTCCCTTCAAACACGGCCATCATGTGTAGGCAGTAGGCGTTCCATATCATGATATGTTTCTTCAATATCTTAATTGTTTTCCTGACTGACTAGCATATTGTGTGCTGATTGCAGAGCCGGTCGCCAGTGCCTCGCTGTCCGCACCACAACATCCGGCTCCTTGGCTACAGCCCAAGGACTGGCAGATGGCTGATGACTTTCAAAACTCAATGCTATGTGATGCAGAGGAGCAACTCACAGGTAAACTCTCCTGTCATAAACCTCCTATGCGTCTGTGTAACCCTGTGAGGGTTTTTATAAATGGTTGAATTTGGGAATTTTGAGATTTGGAATAGATGCCGATGGGGTTGGGGAGGAGAACTAAGGGAGCTGGGTATGGTGGATTTTTGTTTGTTTATGTGATTTTGATTTGGTAGGTTATTGTGTTTTTAGATGCGTTTTATTAGTTCCGTTTTGATTAAGAATACGCCTAAGGCCTTGAAGTTTTCTAGTTTATTTTGGGGGTTTAGTATTGCTTCTAGAGTGAGAGCCTTGTTTAGATTGAGGGTGGTTTGTAATGCGGTTCGATGTGTTAGGTAGTGTGTGCAGTAGATGAGTGCGTGTTCTGGGGTTTCTGGTTGTTTGCAGTGTGGGCAGTTACCTGTAGTGTGTTTTTTTAATTTTTTTTAGGTGGTTATTTAGGTTGGTGTGTCCTGTTTGGAGTTTAGTGATTACTCTGTTGATTTTTTTTGATGGATGGAGAATTTTTGGTTTGGTTAGTGGTTTGCTGAGCACTTTTTTGATTTGGCTATTTGAGTTAAGATATAGGTTATGCCATTTTTTGTGATTTTTTGCTTGTTTACACTTTTAATTTCTGATTTTGCGATGGGTAAGTTTAAGCTTATTTCTGGGATTTTGAGGGATAGTTTAGCTGCTTTATCTGCGTTTTCATTACCGTATATTCCTACGTGGGCGGGTATCCACAAGAAGGTAATTTGTTTGCCTTCCTTAGTTTGGTCGTTGGAGCTTTTAAGTATTTGATTTATTAATTTAGGTCGGTTTTTGGTATTTTTGTTTTGGAGGGCTTGCAGTCCACTTAGGGAGTCTGTAAGTATTAGGATTTTTTTTGTGGTTTTTGGATTCTTGATTATGGAGGGCTATGAGGCAGAGAACATATATATACATGTAAGAACAACAAGAGTAATAAGATAACAAAGGTGGAAACTTAACAAGGGAAGCCAACTGATAATTGGCGCTGATAGTTGACTAGCAATAAGCAAATGGAAGCCAACACTTAACATTGAATTAGCGCTGATAGTTGATTCTGATTGACAACTGCAAGCCAGGACTTTGGACAATGGGCACAATTAGCACTGATAGGTAATAGAATGGAAATAGCAACAGAAAAACGGAAGCCAGCTAGATACTTGGCACTGGTTCGTTTTTATATCCATTTTCAAAAGAAAAACAAATCCTTAAATATTCCGCATCTAGAACACACGACCCCAACAATGCAATTCAATGTAGTGTACAGTTACTTCTCTTTTCATGAGCACTGCTTTACTGCACATCTCGTGTGTTATGGTCATGGCGGCAATAGGAGTTTGTGTGCTTATTTTGCTGTTTGCAAATTTGGTCAATGAAAACATGAAATTTACGATAAAACATTACTAGATATGATGATTTAAAAATTCAATGGTATTTGTGTACTGTATGCTGGACAATGTTTCGTACGCAGGGGTTAAGATTACATGTGTATTTGTCATGTAAAAGAAGCCAGAAATAGTTATCAGCTGTTTACACATTTTCTCCTCGATCTGTGGGTGATTTAGGTTAAAAAATACTTAATGTCATGACTAATATCATAACTGACAAGAAATTCCATAGGAATCAATAGGAAAACCGAAGACTTTGTATCTTTAATGACTAAGGTTCGTTTCAAGGCGAACCTATGGTGAATTGATGTAATTAGCCGATCAGATCATGCACAATTATAATGTACTATAATTTATAATGTGCCAAACTTAATGTAAACAAAATTGAATGAAATCTCCGAGAAAAGTAGTATAACTGATTACAAAAGTCCAGATACACAATGAACACTTTTATAGCCAGATAGTGTAATAATACGACTAACTTACATACTTCTGTATGGGATTTGTGGACATGCTGCTTCCGATGTTGTGTGCTCATGATAACATATTTTCGCATTATGAAATAAAATCAAAGCTCATTGTACGCATGTATTATGCACACACTGGTAGTCCAATGGTAGTCAAATACTGTATTCCAGTATTTTACTCATCAAGGAATACATTTATGTAGGGAGGCCCTTTCCAAGGTTGATTTGCACAACTGTCTCTTTGGACTCCTTCTAGTTTCTTTTTGTATTCTTTGTTCGTGTATTTTTGCAGTTTTCTTTCCATAGATTGCTATCCAACCAGTCTTCTATGTCTTGCAATCTTTGTTCTCTATTGGATCTGGAAAGAGTGGATATTTGTCTTTTGGTTTCCATTTCTATTGCTTGGAACTGGGAGACTTCGTTCCCAATTCTATGGGATTTGTTTCCGGAATATCCATTCTATGTATTCTGTGCTTGGGAGAAGTATGGAAGGGTTTGTATCTGCCTTGGATATTTTTGTTGGTTGTTTGGATGGTGCAAGAATAGTTCTGTTGTTCCTATTGTATACCCAAGTACATACGTTTTCTCCTACAGACGCTGTATTGTCTAGAATTGTCCCTTCTTTTTCTCCTTCTATACCTTGTAGAAAGTATCCCTGGCTTTGTAGGTATTCCACTAAGTTTTCCCTATCTAGCACACCAGAAAAGTCTCTAGTATAGTCTATGGAATATATCTCGCATCCGAAGGAATATATACTCTTCAAAAAAAGAAACTTGACATAGATGTAAAACCACTTTTTGCCAAATATCTAAAATAATTACATTAAATGAGAACCAAATAAGTCAAACAGAAAGATGATGTGTCTATAATTCGGGAATACACATGCAAAGCAAATAAACATCCAAACGCAACCGCCTGTAAAAAATGTGCAGCACAGGATCCTGCATTTAAGCATCCAAGTCCCCCCGCTGAATGGGTATAAAATTCACATCAACGGCTGTTCATACAGTCCTTATAACGGCAGTAGAGGCGGTGACAGAATGCCAAGACTGAATGCAGCTCAACGGAACAATGCCATTGGGAGATTACAAGCTGAAGCAAGTCAGCAAGATCGATACATCCGGCTGTGACACCTCCGAGACCGCACTACCACAGCCACGTCTACAACCACACAGATCCCTGGGGTACGCAGAATATCAGATCAAACGGTACGCAACAGACTGAGGGAGGCTGGACTTTTTGCACGAAGACCTGTTCGACGTCATGTATTGACCCCACGACATCTGGCGGACCGTCTGCTTTGGTGCCAACAGAGGGTTAGATGGGTATGTGCAAGGTGGAGAAATGTACTGTTTACTGACGAGTCCCGTTTCCTACTCACACGTTCTGATGGGCGCATGTGTCTACAGACCTGGGGACGAACGTTACGCCCCCAACTGTGTGCAGCAGGTTGTCCCATTTGGCGGCGGGAGTGTCATGGTATGGGCCAGAATTCATCACGGTGGTAGGACGCCACTCGTGCATGTGGCAGGTGCATTGACAGGTGTGCGTTACAGAGACTTGATCCTACAGCCTTACGTTCTTCCTCACATCAACGTTCATGGCTGACAGTTCCAGCAGGACAACGCTTGACCGCATATTGCACGTGTTTGTCAGGACTTCTCACAGCACAACAACATCCAGACAATACCTTGGCAAGCCCGGTCACCAGATTTGTCCCCGATTGAGCATCTGTGGGACGAGTTGGATTGACGCGTTCGCAGAAGGAATCCACCGCCCCAAACACTTCTGGCGCTTCTTGATGCACTTCAGCATGAATGGTAGCACATCCAACAGTGTGTTATTGACAACTTGATTGCATCTATGGGTCGTCGGTGTCAAGCGGTGATTGATGCACGTGGTGGGCACAAGCGATACTGACATTTTCTGTACCCCTGTGACATTAACTGTATCGTGTACGTGTGTCTGTCTAGGTGACACGATTAATGTTTTGAACGTTGTGTACATTGATCTTCAAACAGTGTTTCAATTATTGTTTCTGTGTCCTATTTTGAAACGATCACATTATATTACATTTTGAGAGTCAGTGTCAGGTTTCTTTTTTTGAAGAGTATAGTTGCGTGTGTAGTGCATCCAACCCCTTTTGTGTTTCCTCTAGGGACAACTTGGAGACATCTATTTTGCATACAAATATACCTTTGGGTTCTTCGTTGGAACATCTTTCCATCCATTTTTTCTTCGCTTTGTATTCTGTTTGTTTTTGTATTTGTTGTATTGTGTCTTGTATTTTGCTTCCGGAGCCTCCTATATAGGAAATTGTATTTGCAATAGTAGCATGCATGCGACATCTGTATACTTTCTGTGTTGCTATTTGTATTTCTTGTAGTATACGTTTTGCAGATCCATTTTCTCCACTTGTACAAGACACAGATCCTCGTAGAGATGCTATATCGTTTTCTTCTAGATAGCCAAATACATACATATCGTCTACAAATGTTGGTAGGCCCTCCAAAGGTTCTAGATGTGTTCTGCTCAGATTTCCTTCCAAATAGTCTACCTTGGATATATCTGGTAGCAAGTTGTCTTTGTATGCATTCTCCACTAGTATATGTTGGAACACAGACATTTCTGCATGTATGCCCATGCTCTCCATAGTTGTATATTTCACTTCTTCCATTTTTGTTCTATACTATAGTTGGGCACAAATTTTCAATTGGAAATTCTTTGGACACAGTTGTATGCTTTGGACACATCCTATTGCTCTAGTGGAAAAAATATTGTAGGGGGTGCCGAAATCGGGGGTGCCAAAGAAGAAAAATGCGCTCTCTTGAATACGAATCATGACAATCGTTGAATCGCATCATCATTTTTGCATAAAAAATTCCCTCTGTAGTGGCGGTATAGGTATATAAATCTGGCTCCAGTGGAAACATCCTAGAAAAAACTTTCCAGCTTCAAAAACACCACTCTCCCCAACACATCCCATACATCACCAAGTCACCTCTGTGATCATGGATCATGCACCACTAAATCTCGTGCAACAAGACCCCTGAGATCTGACCAATTGACATATCCGGCATCTTCATTCTCAATTCTTTTGTCTGATGTTAAGACGTTACCTGAACAGAGAATACATTTT